ATGAGAAATACCAATTAAAACTATAGTGAGAAAAGTTTTCACTGATCTGACAAAGTTCAAAGAGTATCAGTCTTCATACTTTCACAGTGAGACTATAACTTGGTACAAATGCTTTGAAGGACAAATGGGCGATATCTATGTAAATTTAAAATCCACATTGATGAGCAATTCCACTTCTAGGAATTTATTTATTTATTTATTTATTTATTTATTTTTTATTTTTTTGAGATGGAGTCTTGCTCTATTGCCTAGGCTGGAGTGCGGTGGCACGATCTTGGCTCACTGCAACCTCTTCCTCCTGGGTTCAAGTGATTCTCCTGCCTTGGTTTCTCGAGTAGCTGGGATTACCGATGCATGCAACCATGCCCAACTAATTTTTGTATTTTTAGTAGAGACAGGGTTTCACCATGTTGGCCAGGTTGGTCTTGAACTCCTGACCTCGTGATCTGCCCACCTTGGCCCCCCAAAGTGTGCTGGGATTACAGGCATGAGCCACCGTGCCCGGCTGGAATTTATTCTTAAGCTATTCTTATACAGGTACAAAATGCCATATACATGAGGATATTAATTGCAGCACAGTTTGTAATATCAAAAGATTGGAAACATCCTAAATGGGTTGGTTAAACAAATTATGGTCCATCTGAGAATATTATGGAGCCATTAAAAAGAATGAGGTATCTTTGCATGTAGTAATACAAAACAATATCCTAAGCATACTGTAAAGTAAAAAGAAAAATCAGGGTGGAATGGTTTTAATGGTTTGCTGTCATTTGTGCAAAAAATAAAAACAATATTTACTTTTATATGCATAAAATATCTCTAGAAGGAGAGGTACAAAATAGGTGCAGTGGTTGCTAGTGAGGGGGCCTGAAATGGGAGGGAGATTTCTTTTTCATGTTCTACCTTCTCTTGTTATTTTTTGAGACAGAGTCTCGCTGTTGCCCAAGCTGGAGTGCAGGGGCACGATCTTGGCTCACTGCAACCTCCCAGGTTCAAGCGATTCTCCTGCCTCAGCCACCTGATTAGCTGGGACTACAGGTGTGAACCACCATGCCTGGCTAATACTTGTATTTTTAGTAGAAATGGGGTTTCTGCATGTTGGCCAGGCTGGTCTTGAACTTCTGGCCTCAGGTGATCTGCCCACTTCAGCCTCCTAAAGTGCTGGGATTATAGGTGTGAGCCATTGCACCCGGCTCTTCTTCTTCTTCCTTTTTATTTTGAGACAGGGTTTCATTCCCATCACCCAGGTTGAAGTGCAATGGCAGGATCTTAGCTCACGGCAACCTCTGCCCCCCAGGCTCAAGTCATTCTCCTGCTTGAGCCTTCCAAGCAGCTGGGACTACAGGCGCATGCCACTGCACCTGGCTAATTTTTGCAGAGACGGGGTTTCGTCATGTCCAGGCTGGTCTTGAATACCTAGGTTCAAGTGATCTGCCTGCCTCAGCCTCCCAAAGTGCTGGGATTACAGGTGTGAGGCACTGTGCCCAGCCCCATGTTCTACCTTCTACTATATTTTTCCTTTTGGAAATCTGTATGACCTATTCAAAATGAAGAACATACAGCTTCTTTAGCCATGCAAAATAAATAAATACATATTTGGGAAGGGGCCTCTTTTTTTTTTTTTTTTTGAGACGGAGTCTCGCTCTGTCTCCCAGGCTGGGGTGCAGTGGCCGGATCTCAGCTCACTGCAAGCTCCGCCTCCCGGGTTTACGCCATTCTCCTGCCTCAGCCTCCCGAGTAGCTGGGACTACAGGCGCCCGCCACCTCGCCCAGCTAGTTTTTTTTGTATTTTTTAGTAGAGACGGGGTCTCACCGTGTTAGCCAGGATGGTCTCGATCTCCTGACCTCGTGATCCGCCTGTCTCGGCCTCCCAAAGTGCTGGGATTACAGGCTTGAGCCACCGCACCCGGCCAGAAGGGGCCTCTTTAAATTCAATATTTACCGCCAGCCCTTCTACCAGTTTCTCCAGTCCCTCATTCATTCTTCCTCCCTGCCTTCCTCCCTCTTTTTCTTCTTTTTGCTTCATCTCTATATTGGCTAGATTCTGTTATTGATCAATTTTTAAAAGGAAAGCACTGGAAGGTTGCATTGCCTAAATTTGCGGGGTTTGAAGATGTCAGCTGCCTTTATAATTTAAGAACACCTTGGCTGGCTCACAATTCTTGGCTTTTATTTTATTTCCCTTAGAACTCTGCAAACATTTTTCTATTGTTTTCTGGCTTTGACTGTTCCTGAAGAGGTAGGTCTGGAGCCAGCTGGTTTATCCACCCCAAAATAAACTTTTTCAGTCTGTTTGTATGAATCTTTCTTTATTCTTGGAGTTCAGGGACTTCACCAGGACATGATTTATTGATCAACGAAGCTCAGTTTCATGGTCCCCACTCTTCAGGGATCTGCTTAAATGTCACCTGCTTGAATGGCCTTCTCTTTACCTAAAACAGCAGCACCTGTCAATCTTGATGCTTGTCTAATTTATTTTTCTGCACAGCACTTACCATCAACTGGCACTATAACATATATTTATTTCTTTTCTTTTTTCTTTTTATTTTTTTTGAGACCTAGTGCCGCTCTGTTGCCCAGGCTGGAGTGCAGTGACACGATCTTGGCTCACTGTAACCTCTGTCTTCCAGTTTCAAGCGATTCTCCTGCCTCAGCCTCCTGAGTAGCTGGGATTATAGGCACCTGCCACCACGCCCAGCTAATTTTTGTATTTTTAGTAGAGATGCGTTTCACCATGTTGGCCAGGCTGGTCTCGAATTGGTGACCTCGTGATCCTCCCACCTCGGCCTCCCAAAGCGCTGGGATTATGGGCGTGAGCCACCATGCCCAGCCTACTTATTTCTTACTCCTTCTTGTAAGCTTCTTTTTTTTTTTTTTTTGAGACGGAGTCTTGCTCTGTCGCCCAGGCTGCAGTGCAGTGGCACAATCTCGGCTCACTGCAAGCTCTGCCTCCTGGGTTCACGCCATTCTCCTGCCTCAGCCTCCCAAATAGCTGGGACTACAGGCGCCTGCCAACACGCCCGGCTAATTTTTTGTATTTTTAGTAGAGACGGGGTTTCACCGTGTTAGTCAGGATGGTCTCGATCTCCTGACCTCATGATCCGCCCGCCTCAGCCTCCCAAAGTGCTGAGATTACAGGCATGAGCCACCGTGCCCGGCCCTTTCTTGTAAGTCTCATAAGGGCAGGCACTATGTTTTTATTGTGTACTACTGTATTCTCTGTGCGTAGAATAGTACTTGACACCCAGCAGACAATCAGTAAATATTTGATGAATAGTTGGCTCATTTGATTTGATGGAATCAAATCAAAGAAAGATCAAAACATTTATTTCCAGAAAAGTTTTCTTCAAGGATATCTTTAAATATCTTCTGCTCCATGTGTTTTGTTTTCTTTTTCAGGAATAATAGGTTGGCATATATTAGATCTCCTGTGTCTTCCAAATGTATCGTTTTCTTTATACTCATCTTTATAACTTTTATTTTTTGCACTTAATTCTATTTTATTTCCTTAAGCCTATTCACCATTGAAAACATCCTAAATGGGTTGGTTTACTACATGTTCGTTGCTTATAATATGATTTTTTAAATTGTTATGTTTTTCTCTTCCATTTTTTTCTTTACTTCTACCCATTTGCTTTTTATATCCTTTTGTTGTCTGTAATCCTTAACTTTAACATAGCCCAAATTTATTTACTTTTGTCTTTTTTTTTTTTAAAAAGAGATGGTATTTTCACTCTATTGCCCAGGTTGGAGTGCAGTGGCACAATCATAACTCATTATAACCTCAAAATCCTTCTGGGCTCACGTGATCCTCCCGCCTTAGCCTCCTGAGATGCTGGGGTTATAGGAATGAGTCACCAAACCCAGCTCCACGTTTTTTTCCCTTTTATGGTAGTAATTTTTATGTCTTGGTTTTTTGTTTGTTTGTTTTTAAGATCTTTGTGTACTTCAAGGTAATAAAGATATTATTGTGTGTTTCTGGTGTTTCGTTCTGGTTGCTATTTTCCCCTAAAGAAACATGGAAATGTTGCTACGTAGTTCATGTTTAAAACATGTAAGGGCTCCACAACAAAGGAGAACCAGATCAAGCCCTTTGTCCTGTTGCTTCTCTTACCATACTCCTATGGCCTACCGCTCACAAGAAGAAAAAACTCACTTGTCACCTAGCCAAGGTGTTCTTCAATTATAAAGGCAGACATTTTAAAGCTTTACAAATTGAGACAATACAACTCTTCTGAGTTTTTCTTAAAAACGAACAAACAAAACTGCTACACAATAAAAGTCAGCCATTCTAGAGATGGAAGAAACAGAAAGGGTTGAAAAACATACATGCAAAAAAAGGATTAAAGAAATTTGGACTATTGTGTGCCAAATAAAACATTCCTATTGTAAAAGATTTCCACATACTACACTGATGTTGATGCAACACACTGCCTATGTATAAAGTCCACAGGAAAATATTACATGAAAAGAGATGCTTGGGGACAGTTAAATCAAATAAATGTGGTTAACGTGGTACTCTTATCACTAACATGTCATAATACTATGTAAATGTCTACTCTATATAGTTATCATATACCTTCACTGCCTGAGGATTTGGCAACAAGCTAACTGAAAATCCCAGAGTTGGTGTTTGAACCACTGGCCAGCTCTGTCCTGAGACCACGGGATTAATGTTTATGCAGACGTTAGGCCCAGGAACATCGCAATGATGACTAGAGCAAGGAGGAGAAATATTATTTGTTATAAGGTAAAAAAGGAACAGGGAGGAAGGGGAAAAAATGGAAAAGACAGGGGAAAAACTATCCACAGGGAATACATAGCACATACGTTGCAATAATCTTGCTATTTCTATGCCTAGCTACTTATCTCTGGATAAATGACAAGGCAGCACGTTCTAAACCACTTTGTCATGATGGGCTGCCACAGCAATGATTTATTATATTCCACTATAACACGACTTTAAATCCCCCTCCTCAAATATAAATTTGAAAAATTACCCTTAATAGTTCCACTGATGTTGGCCTTTCCTGAGGTATTTTCTGCAAGCAGTAATCAACAAATCTCCTAAAGGAGTCTGTCCTGTGTGTGCAAATACACAAAAGAAAATAAACTCAGGGTCTGTAGAGTACACTGATCACTTAAAACAATTTTCATTCAAGAGAAAATTTTGCATTTAAGGAGATTTTAAAAAATAAATGCTTTAGAATATCAGGAGAACTGGAGCATTTTCAAGTTATGATATCTAAAATTAATTCTTTTGGATAATGAGTAAGGACAAGTTTCAACTCAGTCAACACACAAATACATCTTAGTATACAAGGAAGGTCAAATCATAATATATATCAGAAAACAAAAATACTACATTTATATAAAATAGTTTTATGTACATTTTTCTCTCCAAAGACAACAATTCTTATAGTCTCAACTTTATATTCTTAATTACCAATTGTTAATTCCTCTATCACCCACAATCTATAACAAAGTAGTAAAATTTGAAGCATGAGCAATGCGGAACCAGGAGTAGGCTTCCTGAATAAAAACACTTCCTATCTTAAAAGTTCCATTTTATCCACTCTTCTTTAATATTGCCCCTTTTAAAATAACTCTTGTGGCCCAAATAAAAATATCATACTTTTCAGCAAGGCACAATGTATCTGAACAGATAATGCATGTTCTGTCTCAACACATTTAAGTGTACATGTAGTTTAAAAAAACAAAAGACAACTGGAGAAATAATGACATCATAGAGGGCCCCTTATCTCTGCTGAGAAGTGATATCAGCTGAGATGATCAATACAAGACCATCACGGCCTGGGACAGTAGACTTGTTAGGAGGGTAGCAGGGCATGTTCCCTGCAGGATTTCGGTTACTAGACACACTAAGAACACAGTGCAAGCCATGATGAAGGCGAAAATAAGTAAATCTATGCGTGTGTTCATGTGTAGACAGTTGATGCTTGTGAGGCATCAGTGTCACCTATAACAACACACAGTGAAGGAAAGAAATGCTTTCTAGGTCAGATATTTAAAATGTAAGGTAATAAAAATGCCAAATACATATGGTGATTTTCTTAGAGATTTAAAATGATAGCAGAGTCTTACCATTCATTAGACTGTAACGTTGGGGAGTCATTCTGAGCAATGTGATATAAGGCACTCATTGCATTCATGTTGAAAAGGGGGGGCTTCCGTTCCGCTGGAAGAGGAAAGAAACACGATAAAGTAGTTCTTGAAGAAAATCAGGCAGACAGAGAAATAAGAAATGATAAGCAAAGCTTTGCTGCTAAATCAATAGCTCATTACTGTCATCATGCCACATAATCCACTTATTTTAATCTCTAAGGTTGGCCCAAGATAGCCATTCAGAAGCTGCTGGACATGAAATGTACATTGGCAAAGCTCCTAACAGAACCCATTTCAAAAGAGTGAAAGAAAAGTTTCTTTTTTTTTTTTTCACATATCTTGAAAAAATTGGCTTTTGCATATTTTCCCACAATAGGTGTGAAGATTTTTGTATGTGTGTTTTAGCTCAAAAATATGTATTCTCTCCTTGAAGTCTGGGTATTTGGTAAAAAAGAAAAAGAAAAAATTCATATTCACTTAAAAAATTCAGAAAGTAAAGAAACATTGAATAAGGAAAAAAGATTACTATAAAATGCAACTTTTTTTTTTTTTTTTT